TCCATGAGGAGTAAGAGACATTTCAGAATAGCGGGTTATTCTGAAATTTGGTGCTGTGTAGATAGCACCAAATTACAAAATAAGCTATTTTGAATTAAGATCAAAATAAAATAGGCAATTTGCATAGTGCAACCTGTGTATCTTATTTCGAGCTATGGTGTAGTGTAGACACTCCCTAACGGATTTAGTCTCACAACATCCCTGTGAAAAAAGGATGCATTAATATCTGCCTTTTACAGTTAGGGAACAAGAAGCAGAAGGCAACTAAAGAACTTGCCCATGGCCATGTAGAATGTCAGCAGTAAAACAGGGAGTTGAACCCACACTGCCAAGCCTTAAGTTAGCATCCTAACCAGGTTGTCTTTCTTCTACCCTGGAGCTCATTTATGTCATTTCAGACTAAATCCAAAGAAAAACACCTTGACTAGCAGTACCTGTGACTGATTTTTAGGACCCTGGAGGGGCATTGCAGTTGGAATGATCAGTGTTTCCTGTAAGCTGTGTGCTTGGGTGGCCACTCAGGAGAGATTCAAATGCTGCTCAGCTGATTAGCAGGGTGTCCACAAGCAGGTGTTTTGTTACTACTGGTGGTGCACATGCCTCGGTGCACATAAAATTTATTCCACACATGGATGGAAAATAATCAGCACATGGATGGAAAACATTAGAGGAAACATGAGTTTCAACACCTACCCAGGATGAGTGAAGATGAGGTGTTTCCAAGTCAAGAGAAGGTAAAGGTGAGGCAAGTGATAAAACAACCATCTTGGAGACGACGATCTATCTAGAGAGTTTATTCGTATTTTGCCTTATATTAAAGGAAAAGCATGGAAAGTGGGGTGGACTAGGTTCTGGATGCTAACCAAGCATCTGTAATGTGCACTAGGCTGAGAGCCAAGAAGGAATTATATCTATTTACAGCTACATGACAGTTATTTAATACGCAAACAGGAATGCAGGCAAACAGAAGGTACAGCCCCCCATAAACTAACACACTGCACTAAATTGTGCTTGGTCTAACATTAAAATATACCACTTGTTTGTTTCTTTTTCCTTATTAAATATTTTGCTTTGATTGCTGCATTCAATAAGGTTATTTTTCAAAGGTGGACATGGGATTTTTGTGCCATTGTGAAGCAACAAGATCTAGTGAGATCAACATCAGGACTCTGGACTAAGGATTCTTGGATTCTAATGCTTCTCTAGAGTTGCTCCTTGGTCTTCCATGTGTCACCTATTTTCCTCTGTGCCTCACTTTCTCCGTGGGAAGAATGGGTATAAGACAGCTTTCTTATAAACTGCATAACAGAGATGTTCTGAGGATTAATTAGTTATTGATTGTAGTGCAATCTAATATAGTAAGATCCTCCAGGAACCAAGAACTACCATAAACCTCACCATCTTCTGCTTCAACAACAAGGTTTATTTCTTCAGCTTGCTTTCTGTAACACGGGGTGGAGAATCTATGGCCTGGGGGCCAGATCTGGCTCCTGGCTCTGCCTCCCAGGCTCAGGGTTCCCCCCCAGCACTGGGGAGCTGGTGCTGCAGCCCTGCAGCCCTACTCCTGCCGGGAACCTGCACCTCCTTCTGCTCCTGCACCCTACCACCTTCCCAGATCAACCAACCCCCAACCCACTCCTGCACCTTCTCTGACACCCTAAGCCCACTTCTCAGCAGTCCCCTTCCACACATTGAACCCCTCATTTTTGGCCCCACCCCTCACTTTTTTGCTTCTGACTTTTGTACTGCCCTGACTGATTTTTCTGTGTGAAAGCAGACCGCAACCCAAAAAAAAGGTTTCCCCACCCCTCTCTAATGTAAACACAGAAAAATGGGGGAGATAAAACCTGTCAAAAGAAAACGTTCCATGGAACACATAATTCTCCCTCTGAGGAGGGTGTGAGAGAAGGAATAAATTACATATGAAAAGTAGTAAATCATGCTGCTCAATGCACTATGGTGATGACAATGATACAAGAACGTAGATAGCATAGAATAGAAAAAAACAGTATATTTTCTGTTTGTGAATTGTAGATGAATAAGTCAGAATTTTTCAAATTTGGTCCTCATTTATAATTTTTCCAATTTCGTGTGTTGCAGCTAGAGGTTTTTGGAAAAAAATGGGGGAGGGACATTACAATTATTGAAAAAAAATCCTTGTATTTTCATCATCATTCGAACATTTTCAGGCAGCCCTACAGTTGGTTGAAAAACTGCAACTGGAAAGGGTAAGGGAGTAGGGGTATTTCTACACTGCATCCCTAGTTCGAACTAGGGATGCAGTGTAGACATACCCGAAGAGATGTGAAAACTTTGTCAATTTTTTGATCAGTATTTGAAATTTCAGTGAAATTCATCAACCCAATCTATTGAGAGAGGTAGATGAGCCATTGGTTTGTGTACTGGCCTAGCACTATGCTACCCAGAATTTCCTCTGTGCCCCCAGACTCCCTTGAACAAGATAGCCCTGGTCTACTCTAGAGCTTTATTTTGACATAACCCCCATAGGTCAAACTAATAAGCAGTGTCCCCACACTACCAAGCTTATTATTTCAAAATCTGTATTCTTGGTTTTCTCAGGGAATAACGCTAATTCCGAAATAGTTATTTGGAAATAGCAGTAGTGCGGATGCTCAGGTGCTGCTATTCCAAAATAACTACTTCCCAGAGTAATTCGAACTAATTACTCCTCAGTGCTACCTGGGGCTCTAAGTCCAGGTAACACATCCACATTAATGCAGCCTGTCTTGGACTCATTTTCAGGTTTCCCCATAGAATGGACATAATATTTCGATTTTGTTATTTCAGGAGTTATTAAATTGATGTTAATCGTTTTCAAAATCATTTCCTAGTGTAAACATGCCCTTAGCCTCTCTGTTCCTTAATTTTTCATCTGTAACCCTAACAGTACTTTCCTATTTTATGGGAAAAATAAGGAGTCCTGTGGCACCTTAAAGTAAAAGGGTGTGTCTAGACTACAGGGTTTTGTCGACAAAAGTCCACTTTTGTCGAAAAAACTATACCTGCACTGCCGCTGAGTTCTGTCAACATAACGTCGACAGAACTCAGCAGTTTTTTCAGCGGCTGTAAACCTCATTCTACGAGGAATAACGCCTTTTGTTGACAGAGTTCTGTCGACAGAAGGCATTATTGCATCTACACTGTCCTTCGCGTCTACACTGTCATGTCGGCAAAGCGACTTGCTTTGTCGACAGAACTGGATGTAGTCTAGATGCTCTGTGTCAACAGAAGCTTTTTCGACGAATATGTCAATTAAACTTCTGTTGACAAAAGCCTGTAGTCTAGACGTACCCTAACAGATTTATTTGAGCACAAGCTTTCGTGAGTAAAAAGCCAGTTTGTCAGATGCATGGAGTGGATTTATTTGACCATATATTTCCACTCCATGCATCTAATGAAGTAGTTTTTACCCATGAAAGCTTGTGCCTAAATAAATCTCTTAGGCCTGGTCTATACAACAAGGGAAGGTCAAAGTAAAACTATTTCACAGGGGTATTGTGAAGATACAGACATTAAAGATTCTGAAGTAATGGAGACATATCAATATTTTAGATAAACAGAATGTTTTCCAGTCCTGCTTGTGAACGCAGTGACTTGATCACTGTCTGACTCATGTGGGCCCTGACTTTGCAAACACCTAAGCATGTGTACTCATTGTAGTCAATGGAGATCCACACAGAATCAAATTTATGTAGATGCTTATACGTTTGCCAGAACGGACTCCTAATTGTCTGTGAGAGAAGACTGGCCAGGGGGTGCCGAGAGCAGCTGTGTCTTTCCACCCTCCCATGTACAACTCACATTATTAATGGTCCCTTCAACTCAAGCTGATTTTTTACTACATCCATAATGTGTTCTTTAATTATTTCTCATTTATATGTGGGGACAATGAAACCTTCCAGGGGCACAATAAAATAAAACAAAAGTAATAATCTCAGCTTGCCCAACAGCTAAAATATGGAAACAGAAAAAACGTTCAGTCCTTGCACAAAAACAAGTGACAAAAGCCAGATCCTCAGAGGAGCTCTAAGATGGGCCTTTTAGAAGGATGACCAAACTCATCCATGTTGTCAGACCAAGTTGGGAGTAGGTGGATTCAGAGGGGAAGTGCAGAGTTGGGGACACTTCACTGAGAGTTCCTGCATTTGGCACCAAGATATATAAGTCTAAGGACTGCCTGCTTGAGTATTATAATTAGGATTATATATTATTTGTGTTGCTGTAGTGTTTTGAGGCCCCCGCCGCATTCAGGGCCCCATTGTACCAATCACTGCAAATTCATACATATAACACAGTGTCCCTGTCACAAAAGACTTACAATCCAAAATGAGAAGATAAGCAAAGAAGGTCCATTACCTCCAATATTTAGAAGTGAAACTGGGACACACTCATTCACACAAAATCTGTAGCAGAAACAGGACTTGAACCAGTCTTCCTGAGACCCAGGAGAACGGCCTTCTAAACATGACCATATAGGATAAGTACTTCAACCACTCTCCATTACTTGGGTACGATCCAAAGACAAGGATGTACATAGACTGGTACTTAGAAACCTAACCCATAAATGGATTTAGAGATCAAAACAAACAGCTGGATAGAAAGCAAAATGGAAGCCAGTGCAATCCTGGGAGAACAGCTGAAATATGCTCCCTGTGTGAAACGCTGCTGGGGAAGTGGAAAGACACGTTCTGCATTAGCTGAGATATGGTATATCTGAGTGCGTGTATATGTGTGCAGTAGATGAGGGTATATGTGTGTGTGTGTGAGAGAGAGATCTGGGCTCTTTAAGCAATGTTTGTTCTCACATTTATGCCACAGTCCATGCACACATTTATGCCACAGTCCATGGTCAAATGGGCATATCTGGTGGACACTGGATTACAGCTGTGTTAATCAGCCCACATTAAAACTGGACCAATGTTTCCAACGTAAACATACTGTTGGTGTAACTGGGAGGAACTTGTGTTTCCCTTACTTACTAGGTAAGATGATGACATCCTCCCCTGGGGCTGGAATGCTGTGGTTGTATCCACCCCAGCCTTGTCTCACGCCACTCCATGATTCAGGGAATGACCATTTCAACATGATGTCTGGAGGAGAAACTGGAGCTAGAAAACAGGACGTACACAGGAAGATGCATTTGGAATTGTCATTTGCTGGGATCCCTGATGTTTCTTGGATAGTGGTATGAAAATTCTATTTGATCGGGAGCTATGGTGGCAGCAGAAGAGTGAGTTTTCATTGAGCTAGCTTGCTAACGATAGCAGAAAAGCCCAGGGGAACATGAGTAGCTGCATGAACTAATCACCTGAGTATGTACCCCATATCTAGGGGAGGTTATACTCAGGCAGCTATCCTGCGTTGGTGCAGACCTCATATCCCAACTCCTACCTCAGTCTTGAGACCACACCCACCCTTCAAAACCCTTGAACCAAGTCTGCAGACCCGCCCTGTTCCCCCAGACCTCTCATCGCTACTCCAGAGCTTGCATCCCACTGCACTCTATCTCCCAACCCCAGCCTGAGCCTCGTCCTGCATACTGAACCCCTCATTTCTGAGCCCCCCTGAGCCTCTACCCTCCCCCCTTGGGGCTGTGTGTGGTCCATAGTTGATTTTTTAATGTGGGTCAGTGGCCCCTAATAGAAAAAATCTTCCCCACCCCTGTTGTCAGCACTAATGCATCACAATTAAACAACAATGGCAATAAAGGCGGACTACAGAGCAAATTTGTGATAAATCCAATATTAGAACTCAGGAGGACTTTCTTGTTTCCAGCCCTATCCTTTGCTCTATTACACTGTCTGGCTCGATGTATAACTGCGTAATAATGCCATGCTATTATCCTAAGATCACCGTGTAGCACTAAAATATATTGTAGACTTAGCATTCTCCATGACCTTTATGATCTGATATGGTATTTCTTAACAAAAGTTTATAGGCTTTTATAATGTGGAATCACACATTCATCATATGCAATGGTAGATGTGGCTCAATAAACTGCTGAAATGAATGCCAAAAGCCCCTTTTGGGCTGACAGATGTACAAAACATAGAGGTGATATATAGTGACATATTCTTGGAAACCTGGTGAAAGGAATCGCTATAGCTGTTAGACCAAAATAGTCAGCCTGAAGCCATCACACACCTGGTACAGGTAGAGGGACTTTATCTTCCTCTTTAAGTGTTACTTGGATTAGGTCTTCACCTGTAACTGAACAGAGAGGATACGTGTGTTATAGGCAAACCCAATTAGCAACTGAACAGATATAACAAATGTAGTTAGAAAGTGATCTCTGATAGACAAGTAAATGATCAGAAAGCATTGTAACAAAATGTTTCCCAAGTACTTAGACTTGATCTTTTTTGAACCATTTTTCTTCCACTATTTTTACAAAGAAATGAATACGTTTTTGTTTGTAGGCACTAAAGGACTCTTGGCACCGTACCAAAAAAAGCTAAGAGCAGATATACAGTAAAGAAAAGCTACAGTTGGCATGCCAGCCTCATTTACCCTGTGGTAAAACAGTGGCTCTATTGACTTCAATGGCTTTACAGTGGTGAGTTACTTTGGATTTACAGTGGGACAAGGGAGATCAGAAAATCTCAGAGGGATAGCCGAGTTAGTCTGTAACTGAAAAAAACTTAAACAACAAATGGTCCTGCAGCACCTTAGAGACTAACAAAAACCGTAGATACTATCATGAAAGGAACTGCAACTTTCGTCCATTGTATATTTCTGGAATCGAAGGCCAGACTGGATTCCCTTCTAAAAGAAATGCAATAGTTCAACCATGATTTATTCGATCCCAGCCAGGAATTCTTTGATCTGTGGTATGCAGGAGGTCAGACTAAATTATCAGAATTGTAACCCTCTCCACCAGGTTTTGTCAGCTACAACAAAGGCTGAGTTCATCTGTTAAAATTAATACCCAGTAGGTTGAGCTCCTAGCCAATGTTTCTGGGCTCACTAAATGCCTTTTTTGGGTGCCCTTAATAGGCAGTACTTCCTACTTACTAGCACTGAGGAAAGCAGCACTTTATTGGGGGAAAGGGAACACAGCATCACCTTGGGGAAACACATGACAAGTAAAACACTCTTTTACGGTAACTTTGATGATAGTCTGCTAACTTGGTTTCCTACTTATCCATGTGAACATCCATTAGGCAAATGGCCCTTTAACCACATCACTTCTCTCTCTGCTAAATACCACTTGAGGTTTAGTGTCAATTGATAGTGTAGTCCTAGAGACCTGCCTCCAAAGTCCTTCCTAAATCCTCTCAGGTTCTTTCTTGAGGCTCCACTACTTAAGTGATTTCAGCTTCTTTCAATGGCTGGGTAGGAAGTACTCTACCAGAAATTATTCTTATGCTGTTCTTCTCAGTGTTTTTAAAAAAGAGCCTTCTCTGCATTGCATCAAGAAGGAGGCAGTTGTAACCTAGGGCAGGAGACTGGGGTGCAGGGTTTTGGAATGTAACCTAGAGCAGAAGGGGGTTGTGACCAAGGGCAGGGACTGGGGTGCAGTAGTTTGTGATCTAGAGGAGGAGAGAATTGTGACCTGGGGCAGTGGATTGGGGTGCCAGATCTGGGAGGAGGTCTGTGTGCAGAAGGGGGGCAGAGGGTTGGGTAAATTGAGTGGGGCAGAGGACTGGGGAATGGAGGAACTTGGGTGCCAGAAGCAGGCTCTGTCCTGGAGACTTACTAGCCAGCAGCACAACCAGCCTGCAGAGCTAAATGCTTGAAGAGCTTGACAAATTTCTCAGCTATCCAGCCTGCCCCATGCTTACAAAGGCTACATCGTCATTTGCTTGTGTGAATAACTGAGCCAGAGGGGATGGGGCATTGTGCTTCATGTGCTGCCTATTATTCAAACAGGCAGCTCCCATTGGCTAGTTTCTGGCCAGAAGTTGGCCAATGGGATTGTGCTGTGGGCGGGAGTTACACGTGAAGCCTTCCCCATCCTCTCCGGGCTCACAGTTTTTAAAGTGTAATGGCCCCACAGCTGCATTTCTGAGTGCTGTGTGGGGCTGTGGGGCAAGCATGGGAGCTGCCTGGGGCTCCCCGCTGCATCTGCAGGCTTAGCATTTTGCCTAAGCCTGCATTATGGAGACAATGTTACAAAGAAGAATTCTTACTAGCCACTTATTGAAGTACACTCTTACCTTCTCCACAACATGCACCTTAACCTGCCAATGGGAGTGCGTATCATTTTGTACTTTACTTAAATTATCTTTAAGCAAGTCTTTGTCCTTATTAATTGGAAGAGCTAGTCCTCCTTAGTTCCCTTTCCATCTCCCAGTGCAACCAAACTAATCTAAAATGCCCAAGGTTCATTAATTTTAAGTGTCAATAAATTAGTGTGAACAATCAAAATACACGATTCTTTCTGATAATTACTATTTGGTGTCAGTGTAAAACACTACATTGACTTAGCAGCATATGCACCTATGCCGAATGAGGCTTCCATAATTAAACAGAAAGGATTCCATGTGGGTTTTCCCATGTCTGATTAATTCATAATCAGATGCCACAACCCTGCTTTTCAGCGACACCTTGTTTCCCAATCATTAATTACAGTCTGGTGCCATATTTGCAAAAGCCATTCTGACATCACCTGAATATATTAAGACAACCATAGACTAGGCTAGCTAATGACAAAAGCAACTCCTGGTTAGCTGCCATGGCAACTACTCAAGTCGGGTAATAATCGTAACCACGCTTAGAGCGAACCATATGGCTAGCTTGTTACCAACTTGGTTAAAAACTATAGGACTTGATTCTCTACAGCCGTATACTTCATGCAATTATTTATGCTAGTGTCAGGCACAGTAGGGCTGCATCTAGACTGGCATGATTTTGCGGAAATGCTTTTAAAGGAAAAGATTTTCCGTTAAAAGTATTTCTGCAAAAGAGCGTCTAGATTGGCACGGGTTCCTTTGCACAAAAAGAGCTTTTGCACAAAAGCATTTGTGGCCAGTCTAGATGCGATTTTGCACAAGAAAGCCCCGATTGCCATTTTTGCCATCGGGGCTCTTTTGTGCAAAACAGTTCTTCCCTGTCTACACTGGCATTTTCCCGAGTGGGAGCGTCAGTGTATTTGTGCAAGAACACTGACAATCTTACATTAGATCATCAGTGTTCTTGCGCAAATTCAAGCGGCCACTGTAGACAGCTGGCAAGTTTTTGCGCAAAAGCAGCCACTTTTGCCCAAAATCTTGCCAGTCTAGACGCACCGTAGGTATAAAACACAACCATGCTGATGAGGAAGTATTTTACACCCACTTCACACAGGTGTAAATGCCTACACAAAGTTTGATGCAGTGGAGATTCAAACCCAGAGATTGGACAAGGATGTAATTACCTAGTTCTTTTGATGATTTTGTTTCTATATTGAGAATATTATCATCATTTAGGCACGGAACAGGAAGAGATACAGGCAACATAGATAAAGGATGTCATTAGTAAACATTGGATTAAGTTGCCTCTTTTCAAAATGCAGTTATAAGGCTCCAGGGCCTAGCTGTATAAAAACTTTATCAAGAACCATCAATTTTCTGTCTGATTACAGCCCTTCCTGGATGCTTGGGCTGTGAATCATACATAAAGGCCTTCTTGAATTCAAACTTCCTGGCATCTTCCTTCCCCTGGTTTAGGTCTCTGAGTTGATGTGAAGGAGGAGCCACATGGTCTTTCATCAACTATGTAGTGACAGAAAACTTTGCCTGTGGTTATGAGAAAGCACTGAAACTAGGATAAATAGCTCCAATAGTCTGACTTACACATAACAAGCAACCCTGTGCGATTCAACATCAATAGGGCCAACATAAATCACGGGAAAAATCAAAACTTTTAGAAATCACACTCAACTACAAAACATCTGCAGCACTACACATGATATTCCAAAGCTGGGGTGATGGAGATAGACTATGTGGTCAGTTACTAGTGGGTGCCATATTGTAGGGTGCTCAAAACAGTATTATATGGCTTTGGATTCCATGCTCATTGGCAGCAATATAAAACCTTAACATTTGTCTTCCTCTCTTAATGGATTAATAATGGTTGCAGCAAACACTGAGGCAGTGTGAGCTTCCTCAATGTGCCATACTAATGGGCTACAATCCAGAATTAAAAAGATTAGCACTAAGAGTGAGCATGCAGTTTCTCTGATCACCACAATCCACTCACTCTTTGGCATCTCCTCTATGGCTGCTAACGAGAATGATAATTAGCCCTGTGAGTGAGAGTGTTTTTTGGTGAACTTATAATTTGGGCACCTGTCCACTAAAACTGAAATGAGAATACTCCACTCAGTTGATAGAAGTAAGGTTAAGAGTTTATCGTGGCTATTTTTAGTACAAGTCACAGAGAACCAAGAGCAAGAAATAAAAATTCACAGGGCCTGTTTGTGACTTTTACTAAAAATAACCAGGGAGACACTGGGGGAAGGAGGGGATGGGAAGGAAAAGGAATGACAACTTGAGCCCTATAGAAGGGAGTGACTGCCACAGCCCCGCTTCTATGGAGTGGGGTGGAGGGAGGGACACAGCCCAAATTCAGCCTCAACCATGCAATGGGGATACATAGCAGCATCTCTGGCTCCAACACCAGCCAAAGCCACAGGAGGCAGTGGGGGAGAGTCACACAGTGCCCCAGCTCTGCTCCCCACCACTCATAGCTGAAGCCAAAGTCATGGAGGTCCAGTAAAGTCACAGAATTTGTGACATCTGCGGCTAAATCATACACCATTGAAAAGCCTTCATAGAGGACTGGGACCTTTGGAAACCACTTGCCCGACCTGAATTCAAATGGGTTAAAGGTTAAAGGGGTATTATTGTGTTTCCAATCTCCTGAGCCAACCAGGTTCCTACTTCAAATCTTTCAACCAAAATGCACTTCAAACTTGGGCAATGAATATGAATGAAGCATCTTTGTTTTGCTTATACAGTGATTTTCAATATAAAGAACAATTCTTTAGACGCCTACTCTTCTCCTGCTGAGATCAATGAAAACCTCCTCTAGACTACAATGGATCAGGCTTTAGGTATTTGTAAGAAAGAATGACCAAAATAATAAAATTCCAGTTCTTAAGCTAATTAAACGGCAAACCTGGTTTGTTGCAGCACCAATACAATGCCAAGTCTTGACTCTGTGTAACTTTACACGTGGGTAATCCCATTAATTTCAACAAGACGTGGCCCATATGTTAAGTTCAT